GCATTGCATAATATTCATGAAAAACATGCATACACACATACATGCACATAATATATGCACTAAAAATAATAGGTGTCACGACATGGTGGGATCAAGCGCTCGTCAGTTTTGATTTTGAGGCTTACAGAGTTATTCAATTGATATCATCTTAAAGCCTGTCCATTTGCCTTCCTTTTGATGAAAACAATATTCATCTATGCTGAATAGAAGTCGAAATATTTGTGATTGGAGGAAGTGGGGTCACTTGATTTCAGAGGTAAATTTAGTGAGAAAACGGCCGTCAAAGTTTGATAACTTCAATAGCTTGAGAGCCTTTAAAACTGAAAAATCACAAATTTTGTGCATGTAATGAACGTTTTTCAGTATGGATGTAAAAGGTGTTTAGCGCGAAAAAAAAAATTCAATAAAAGATCCCAAACCTGCGGAAAAATGCTAATTTTTTCACTTTCATTATTTTGACGAGCGCCTGATTTCACCACGCTGCCTCACAATTAGAGTAAATCATTCAAGGAAAATATTGCATACACATTCTTTCTTACTAATAAAAAGGAAAAAAATTGAGACTCATGTCTATGACAAAAGCGCTTTGTTTTTAAAAAAAAAGTTACAGTGGAATTCTGATAAAGTCAACAGCCCGGACAGAAAAAAAGTGTTGACTTTGAGCAAGGTTGACTTTATCCATTGTACTACTGGCCATTGACAATTGAAGATGACAGCAACAAAATTACAAAGTACTTGGTAATAAACAAGATGTAATCTCAATTTCAGGGAGTATAATTCTGAAGTTGTCACCAAAACAAGAGATAATGGAAGAACAAAGTATGTAATTGGAGGTGTGTACACAACTTGCTCAGGCGAAATATCTCTTCTTGAATGAATTCATCTTAGGATTTAGCCCCAAATTGTTAACTTTACACAAGGTTAACACTCAAGCGGTTGACTGTATCAGAAACACAATTACTTAAACAAAGAAGATAAGAAACGGGACTACAGTGAGGTGTTGACTGTAAGCAAGAGTTGATTTTAAGCAAGTTGACTTTATCAGGATTCCACTGTATCTCTGTTATTACTGATCATTTATGCTGAAAAAAAAAAGTGAAATTAGTTATCATCAACAAATGCAGAGTTCATCATTATGTCAAAAATATTTTTTCACCTCTCAAACGTGTAATATTACATAGTTCAAGAACCCTCCCCCTTTCTTACACTCTTCTTACAGGAGACAAAGACCTCCCCCCCTCCCTCCCAGGCGTAAGATTATATTTGAACGGCCCCTAACCTCTGGACTACGAGAGCCCCTACACTTACTCTGACTAGTAGCTGGCGGCTCCACTGTGGTGAGCAGTTCTGAGGCGGAGCTGCACGCGCTCTCTTGTGTCTTTACTTCCGCCATCTGTGGGGTACAGCACGCGCACATACGTCTTTAGTGTCGTGTTAGTAAAAGTTTTACGGCACTTGCGACACAAATTTACTTTTGTATATTCCGCTTGTACCGGTGGGTGTCGCGGGGGGACACAAAAATATATATAAATATAAGCGCCGAAGATTAGAGATATTCCCAGAGAGTGACATACACAGAAAAGAAGGAGGCGAAATGAGGACTACAGGGTGTTTGATAGGAAAGAAGGAGCAAACCACACCAGAGTACCCGTCAACCACCCACTCCCATAGAGATCTGTTTCGGACGGCTTTCGAAAACATTTGGCTTTACAGGAGACACTCAACAAAATGTGCAAAATGCCCC